TAAAAAAACTCAGGCGATTAGCGCCTACGATATAATAAATAATAATTTAACCGGCGATTCGCACACGGCAAAAATACAATGAGTATTGATAACTTGACCAATATAATAATAATGCCCTTATGGCTCACTATAATAAAAGATTACAAATTTCATATATATGCCTAGGTGTATATTATACTCGAGCCTGGTCACTGGCACGACCAAATGGAAAATTGACACCTTGGCCGTGTTAAATAATATTCGCGTGGACGGCGTGGCGGCGTGCGATAACGTTTAATCTACATATTATATAACTCACAAGACACATTCAATACAAAAATAAAACAATACAAATAAAGTGATATGTGTGTGTGAGACCAGCTGTTCCTCTGTGACCAGTGATAATTAAATTATTATTTTAATTGATATTTACTATGTTGCGGCGGCAACAATGTGCACATAATATTATTTTATAATGCTAGGTAGTTGATAAAATAAATAAATAAATAAATTGATAATCTGATCTATTGATATAGTATTAATTTCTGGTAAATAATCTGGTTCCCTGTCAATGTCATTAATGTCACCAGAACCGTCTTCAAAGTCAAAATCTTTATCACCACTAATCATTCCATATGTGTAAAAGCTACAAATATAGGTTCTAAAGACATTGTATCCATTTCATCTTTTTCTAGATAATTTTCTGAACTCTGATACATTTATATAATTTAATAATCCAGTAAAGTCATAATAGGTAATATGTTACCAGAATATAAATCCATATTGTAATATTTTTTTATGAATTGATCAAATTGAAACAATTTCATAGAATATGTATAATACCTACTAATACAATTATAATTCATTTGTTAACATCAAACACAAATTGACGATTATAATAATTATTAGTTTAGGCATACTATCACGGCTGTATTATTTATAACCATATAGTAACTATTAAACTATTGTATTGTTATCAACATGATAATATTATTGAATTTAAAAAAAAGGTAAACATTTGATAGATACCATAATAACATAATATTTATATTATTAAATTATTTTTAAACTTCTAACTTCCCAGGAAAGAAATGTTACCCAATGAAAAAAAAAGTAACTCAAATTATTTCCATCTTCAGCAGTAAAATTTATTTTAGAATTCAAGTTGCTTCTTTTTTTTCGGGACTTCATTTATTGCCATATATTTTCTATTGTTCAAATCATGATACAGTTACTGAAGTTTTTGTAGGAGATAGTATGAACAAATCTCTATTCAAAAATAGGTGGAACTAAATTTTGCATTTTTTCGAGTTACTGTCTTATTTGTTGCGTAGGTATGTCGATTGTCGAACTAAGCTAACAGTTACAAATAATAAAATTCATGTTAAAAAAAAGCGGGTAAGCGAATATCGCTCTGTTGCACAGTAGGTTACAAGTTGATCATTGTTATGGATGGTGTTAAATTTGAATTCAATAGTATAAAATCATTGTGTACGAAAAACTATTCTGAGCGAAGACGGTCTGTCAGCTTATAATATTACTTACCTAGTAATTTAGTATATTTGATTATGTTAGTAACCACGCTACTGCCTGATTAACGAAAAGGCCGAAATAATGGGGGGGGGGTGGGGGGGCAAACAAACAATTATGCAGATAGACCTCCTATAATATCCAATGATTCATTGAAACATGGTTCAATTAAAATGTCCGCTAGTATGTTTCACAAAATATCTAACACAATTATAGGCGAATAGTTCCATTAAATTCTGAATTTTGGAGTTTATATATTATTTTAAAACAAATTATATTTGATAAATGTCTTAAATTTGAAGATATTCAACTTTGTAAACTCTTAATATCTGAACACCATGAATTATGTATTAGATTATTTAACACTAATTTAAAACTCAAATTCCATCTTAACCATAATTATCCTTTAATAATGGAACAGTGTGGAACTTTATCATTAATCTGGTCTATGCTTTTCGAGTCAAAGCATAACAATTAAAAGATACAGCTAAATCTATAAAATATTAAAGCATCAATTTAATATTTCGTATAGAGTTTTGTCTCAGTTAATACAATAAATATAAAGTAGGACGTATAATAAGGACGTTGTACATTACTTCCCACTGTGCAATAATTTGTACCACTAACGTTTCTGGGCTGTTGCAATGAAACATGGAACATTACAAATTGCGTTCCATAAGTGTATTTAAAACATCCCTGGGACCGTATTTGTACCGCAATGATGTCACAAATAAGACATATACTGAACATCTCTTTGTAACATCTCTACAACAATCAAACATGATGTTCCGTCCACATTAAATTAAAACTTCTATGAAACATCGGTGATGTTTCATAGCTGTCTCAATGTGATGTTATTAAACACATCACTGCGATGTTTGATACTATTGTTGTATAGTTGTTTAACTAAAAATATACAATGCTGATAATTTTTTTAAAATATTATACATAATATGGATCATATATAATATAATACCTGTTTTACATATGCATAAATAATAAATATCTATGAATCAATATGTTTGCTCGTTTTAAGCCTATCCTAATATTAATAGAACATGCTTTCACGGCTTAGTTGATAGGCAATACAAAGTGCCGCTATCCTTGTAGGAGCTATAATATATTATAACAACACTTGCGTTGATAACATTATTCTGTATTTGATATAATATATAAGTAAAATATTAACAAGCAATATAATAAATAATTGTTCAACAACGGTATGACATATAAATGACTGTTTAACAATAGTATAATATTTTTTTGTATAAATTCTAATCTTATAGTAATGATAATAATAGGCCCGTCGGCCGTATATAAGCGAACAAAACTCACAGGTAATATGTCAAGTAGTGGATTTCATCCCACTCGACCGTGCCGGGGACGTAAATAATAAATTCAAAATATCACAACCCGCTCACGTGCAACTATCTAATATATTGACTAAAATTGAATCGGAAAAAAATGACCTGGGGTGTATTCCAATTAATAAGGCAGTTGTCAGTAGTACATATGCGATAGGAATAGGACACACTCAAATGGCCGAATTTTCAGCAAGTATAGATCTTCCATGTACGACACACACAACTTACATGAAAATAGCTGAAACTTTGAGCGATGAAGTGAAAGAGACTGCTTGGAATGTAATGAAACTTGCCGGAATAGAGGAAAGACGATTAGCATTAGAAGCAGGTGACGTAGATGAAGATGGTATAGGGGAAACCTGGGTAAGATGGGACACCTAACTTTAATGGCATTTAATGGGTTGTTTATAAATTTTATTGTTAAAACAAAGATTTGAATTTTATGTAAAATTATATGTAGTTTCTAAATTTTCAATCAGTTTTGTTATATAATTATTCATTATGCATATATTTGTACTTGACTTAAAATTGGGTTTTGTCCCATCATGGACCACTGTGGAGATAAGATGGGACACGAGTAGGGTAAGATGAGACATAGGTTTTTATTCATAACAATTTCACTTTATTTCATATTATATTATGGTTTTTTTTTTAATAATGTAAAAATATATCAATCATGTTAATTTGATGTATATTTACATTTCTCAGGAAAAGGAGTTATATGTATTAAGTATCAAATTTCTAAGCCATATAGCTATTGTCATATTTGATTAGAAGTTGTATGTATAACATCTACTTTAGAATACTAGGTAAGGTATTTTCATAAAACACTAAATAAGATAAACAAATCTGAATCATATATTACAAAACAAAATATAGGAATTAACATAAATATTCAACTTTTTNATGTCGATAAACTATGTGAAATTAAATGCCCTTATTCTGTTAAAGATTATTGTAGTCTAGAAAAAGCTATTTCGGGCAAAAAGGTAATGTATATGCATTTATTAAAACTTTAATAATTAACGGATTAGAATAAAATAAATAATTTATTCTTTGGAAATAACTATGAAACAAATATTAATTATTATGTAATATACATTTATATATTCCCATTTCAGCTTCCTTATATGAAAATTAAAAATAATTTACCAACTTTGATAGAAGAAAGTCATTATTTTTACCAGATCCAAGGCCAATTACATGTGACTGAACATAAAATTTGTTATTTCTTTATATACACTCCAAAATAGAATCACTTAGAAATAATAAAATATGATGACGAATTTTGGTCCTCAAAAATGGAATCAAGCCTAAAGTTGTAAGTTGTGCTAACAGAATAATTATGGTTGTACGTCTATATTCAATAAAGTCTATTGAATATTTATTAATAAATACGTCTATTGGTTTATAAAATATTAATTTCTCTGTATTTTAAAATTTACTTATATTATTTTAATTTAGATTTTACGAAGAGTGCTTGTTAAGAGAGCTAATTGACCCTCAGTTCATTAAACGTATGTTGAAAAATGATATCATTTTAATATATATGATATGTTTTTTTGGGACCAATAGTTGAATTTAAGATTTTTGTAATACTTTCCCATAATGACTGTGCACTTTTCATGGTGAAAGTTGGTCCAAACTTTTTGGTACACAATTTGGGATGTTTGTGAACAAAATCAACTAACAATTGCTTTTGTTCATACGTAACACTCTTTGATTTTTGTTTTTTCTCCATCCCAGGAACAAGATAAACTTAATAATTATTAATTATAATACATTTTACTTTTAAAATTGAATTGTTATCAAAATATTTTTTAATTTAATAAAAAAATATAATATATATCAATTTTTTTAAATTTATCTTGTTATCAATATTTATCACTGAAAATTTAGTGATAAAATCGATGATAATTTATATTTTATGGTGTCGCAAACATAATATTTTGAAATATGTCTAAAAAAGATTGGTTTAAAAATGAAAGATTAGACCAAATCCTTTTAGTGTATAAAATATTAGATCAAAAATATATACGATTCAAAAATACGATTGTTGATTAGTGCACTAAAAACTTCATCTAAACAATTAGTGTACTAAAACATTGACTAATGATTTGTGTGAACTCAAAAATAGACCCCCAGATGCCTTTTCTTTACATTACTTATCTTGCTGATTTCCTTTTTAATATTACAAAATTTTCCATATAGTTTACCTCTATTGGGACTTATTATATTACCCTCTTTACAGTACAGTATGAAATAAGTTTTCTCAGTCTCATAAGGAAATAATTCTTCAATGCCTAAAAAGTAAAAACAAATATTATAACGAAAAAATGTTATACCTTACAAACTTTCAAAATTACCTTTTGCTAAAATTATAAACCTTGATCTATTTAAAATGACTTGGGAGCGAATTTGATCTTTTATTATTACAGAAACTAGTTTATTTCGCATGGCCTCATTGAAATGTAATTTAAGTTTGTAATAATCTAATACAAACTCTCCATCTTGGTATTTGGATAAAATAGTTTTTATCTGTTGCGCCAAAGAATTATCATTGTTTATAGTGGTTGTATAGGAGCATTCTGCAGTTGGAACTTCATAAACATATTAAAATACAGGTATTTACTATTTTATAATATTGAATAGCGTTTGGTTTTAATTTGAGACAAGCAAAAGTAAAACCAAGAAAACAATACGCCAATACCTATACTATATAGTAAGTATTGAATATAATACTATTGATAATACAGATTGTACGAATTAAATAAATATGGCAAAAATAATATTTATGTGGTGTTCCTACAAGTTACATATACCTACAATGTATATATTTTATATTACAATTCTTTAACTTATATTAACAATACCTACAATTAAAGAATTTCAATTAAATAATATAACTACATGGCTACATTTAAATTATAATAATAGTATTATAGTATCATACACATACCTTTAAATATTGTTATTATTTCAGTTGAAAATCTCCATTGTTTCATTAAATCTTGAGTGTATGAATCTATAATTCAAAAACTAAAAAGTATACTATTACAGTAAGTCCTATAATAATTTGGACATCAGTGTTGTATGAAATTATCCAACTACATTGCTATAATATACTGCAGCAATATTAAAATCGACAGTAGATATTATGCTGCTGTAGCTGTATAGATTATCCGACTAAGTATTGTTGATATTTTAATTTACATACTTATAGGTAGCACGTACCTAACTAATAATTAAAAACTAAATTAATTAGACTTACCTCAGGGACAGAATCTCCAAACTTCCACAATCCCCAGAACAGTTGGCAGGTCAATGTTACAATGTTTGTAATGAGTTATATAACACGAATACACTATGGTAGATTGGGGTACAGAGGATCATAAATGGACAATGACGACCGCAGCGGACGGATCGCTATTTGCCCGTGTAATGGTGTGGAACACCATAACAGTTTTCATATTTTTATAATTATAAATTATAATATTACGTATAGTATTATATATTATACATATATTATCATAGATGTGCGTGTNTTAAATTATAATATTACGTATAGTATTATATATTATACATATATTATCATAGATGTGCGTGTCATCTTTTATCCATTCTGTAATATCACAATATGTAAAGCATATATATGTATAACTATTTTGTATAGTAAACAAAATTTATAATAATCGATCGGCCTGCTTGACATTCGTCAGCCGAACGAAGTTAGTCTCGTCTCACCACTTGCTCCGTGTATTGTTGCTGCCAGGTCATCGGTAAAGTAAAATATTTTATATTACATTTTATTTTACATTTTAAAATATACGTTAAATTATACTCGGTATAACTATAGTTGTCTTGTCGAACATCCAAATCCTCTCACATTCCCCCGTTTGGTACTGATCTATCACTACGGATACACAATTACACACCGTATACCACTAGTGATCGACAATGATTTAATTGTTACAACGTAACACCCGATAACAAAACAACACATTGGGAATCACGTATACCGCGTTTAAAAATAAAACAAACAACAATATTTTTCAGTTATGCTTACTATAAATTATAGTAAAATTAACTATTCTGTATTAAACCAAGCTTTAACTAAAATAAATAGTTAATGGAAATAGATTTAAATAAATTATTGTACTAGTAACTATAATATTTTAACTAATATTTTGTATTCATATCTACTAAAATTGTTTATTAATCTTTACTACAAAATAGTTGTCGCAACTACAATTATATAGTAATCATTTTTTTCCGTGTTAACACGCATGTGCGAACACGAAATTATATATTTTTAAACTTTTTCGGAACTTACGTAAATTTACAAGTAGTTGCACCCATAGGCGTAAATAGCGTTTGAGATTTTGGGGGCCTTAAAGCCTTTAAAGCCTTTCTTTGATAATATTGAATAAGCTTAAAACAAAATGTAGGATTAAGCTAATAACCACGATGTTGATGCTGTAACAATAAAAAAAAAAAAAAAAAATGTAGGATTTGTTTGGAAGGGCTATGGACATTTGTGGGGGGCTTAGCCCCTAAAGCTCCCCCTATTTGCACCTATGGTTGCGCCCTTCCGGCTCCGGTTATATTTTTCAGATATACGCTCGATATTGCCACGCTCAATACTAATGATTAGTTTTTAAATTATAAAACTTTTAAAATGCATAATATAATTATATAAACTGTTTTTATTATTTCTTTTACATATTTAACAATTAGGTAGTTTTATTCATCGTCTGTATCAATGCTACTCTCATCAGACTCATAAGTCATAATTGTCCTCACAATTAGGGTAGTCATTCAGCAAGATTGGGTCGTAAAGTTGACCAGCGTACTTAAAAAATTCTGTCAATACGTCCAACTTTTGGTAACGACAACGCTTAACAAACATACATTTTGCCATGTAACCACGGAAAAATTTTTTTTTGCGGCAGTACTTTGACAGTGATGCTTTTGCATGGCGCCACATGCCTTCAACATTATTGGTATGTGCCCCGGTATCTGGATTGATAAATTTAATAGAGTGATTCACTGTCACGTGTCGGAAACCTTCTTCTAAACAATCATAAGCCTAAGATGTTAGCAAAAAATAAATGGATAATTTATTTGTTTTAGTTTCTAATTTTCATTTGTTTGTATAGGTTTAATTTAATTGTACCTTCCAACAATCACTAATTATACACGTGCCCGGCAATATCCAGTCTTTAATTAATGACAACAATGTGACCTTGTCACGACGTTCAACAGGAACAAGAAAACAAAGCCCAGATTCCCGCTCAATTCCTCCAAAAATCCATTGGCCTTCTACTCGATGGCCACAATGGTATTTACGTCGACCAAATTTCGACTCGTCTATTTCGACTGTTTTGCCTATTCCACCTTTTATAGTTATTATTTAAAACAGTTAAAATAGTATTACTGTTTATTGCTGTTAAGGGTGTGGATTTGTATGTATCTAATAAAAAATAAAAAATATGTAAGTGTTGATGTTGTTATAAAAACAAAAATGCGAAATATTTAATGCAAATTATACGTTTTATTTTTTGAAAGGTGTCATGAAACGTAATTATTTTTAATCAAAATTAATAGAAAAAAACACGTTTAAAACAAATATAAAATTACGTATTAAACGATTTAAAACGGTTTCTTTATTTTATTAACTCTGATATTTAAATACAAATCCACAAATTATACAATATTATGTTGCATATTATTATCATTTTCATTTTCATTTTACAAACTTACCAATCTTCTCATGACGTATAACCATATACAGTCAAAAACGACTTCTCTGTGAAAAGCTGCCCAATCGACTGTTGTATTTTCCGAAATAGATATTTGCTCCATTATAAAACACAGATAAACATTTTTAAGCCACAAATAAGAAAAAGACACAATTTGAAAAAGGGATAGATGAGATTTAAAAAAAAAGTGTGTTTGCGAATTGATTGAAAAAATATCAAGATTTACTTAATAATTACGCACAAGAATACAAGAAGACTAATCAATAATCATAGTATTATGCACTTGATTGGTGTGAAACTGAAATATATTATTTCATCTA